TATTTTTCACAAAGCTGGAAGAAATTTTTTAGCAAGATATCATTGAGTGCCTTTAGGAAACAATTTGGAAATGTCTATTAAAAGTATTAACTTTCTTCATTTCTATGTAAGAAGAGAAGTTTACCTATTTATGCAGGTAGAAGTTATACAAATAAATTATCCCCTGAAAAGTTTATCTTTGGATCTTTTTCAAACTTTTTGAATTATTTGAAGTCAAATGTAAGTATTTTTTATAAGTGTGGATTAATTATTACTCCATTTTCATAAATTGTTCAATTCTAGAGAAAACAAAATTTATTTTCTTATGCTTTTATACTCTCTTAAAGCATTTCTATATACTTTTCCTAAAGAAAGAATTAAGTTCTACTCTTTAGCTGTATATGCCGTCCTCTGGATAACATAATAAAAAGAACTATAGAGTTGAAAAAAGATTTTTTTTTATATTACTAAGAATTTTGCTAAGCCTACATTTAGAGATGGCTACTGCACTTTTCCAAAACAAAGAGCCTTTGCTTTCCTTTGCTATCTAAAAATTCGTCTTAGAATTGTTATTTTTTTCTTTTATTCAGTCAAGTAACACATTCCCAGCTTACCCTTCTCATGCCATATCTTCTGCATGTTTTTTTGCTTTTTTATATATCTAATAGTAATTTCATCTCATAATAGAAGATTCATTCAATTTATCAATCAAAGATTTATTAGGTGTCTACTACATACAAGCTGCTTTTCCAGTTATTAGGTATATAGCAGTGACTAGACAAAAATAAAAATCTCTGCCCTCATGGAACTTACATCTAGTAAATAAGATAAATAAATAATTGTAGGTTAGAGAATAAGTGCTAAGAAGAAGAAACAAAATAGGGAAGAGAGCATATGAGGGAATGAAATGAAATATGAGGGATATTGAAACTTTTGATGGGCTGACCAGGCAAGGCTTCATAGTAAAGGAAATTTCTGAGAAAAGACCTGAAGGAGTAAGGAGATGAGCCATCCATCTGGAGAAGAGCATTCCAGGCCTAGAGAACAGCCAAGGGACCAGTTAGATAGTGTGGGTAGGGAGATTGGGTCATAGTTATGTAAGGGCAGCAGTCGGAGAGATAATAGAGAACAAGATCATGTAACAAATGTTTGTTTGGGTTACTTAATTACCTTTCATTATTCTGTAATTTTCCTGTGAATTGTGTTTCTGTTCTTTCTAGCTCTGTACAGAATTGCATGCTTTTCTTTTTATGAATTCAATAAGCAGTTTTTAAAGTCTGCCCTTGTTACCATTTTTGAGTGATAACATGTATCAATTAGTCAAAGATTTGTGCTTGTGGGAAAATGCATAATCTTATTTTTCTACTTGCCATTTAATTTCATGATTTTTGAAAAAAAATTTAATATTATTACTTCTTAGGCTGCAGATCTTTACCACTATTCCAGTAGATGTGATTAGTAATTCAGTTTTCTGGTACTGCTTTATGTAATATTATTCTTGTCATTTTCTGTTTTTTCTCACAAAATTCTAAATTTCCACCATTGAAGCGTTACTTTAAATTGATAAATTTAATTGGCATCTTTTAAAAAGTAAACTCAATTTAAAAAAAAGAACAACCTAACCTTGAGAGTTAGGACTTTATTAGGTTTTCTTCTAGTCTTTTATTTGCTCTGGCTCTCTTCAACTAAAGTAAATTATTTGCTTTTTATGAAATGACCAGGAATCTAAGCAAATAAACCTAATTGTGGAAAGTCAGTGGATATTTAACTCAAATTAATTCTAATGAATTGAAGAGCTACAATTAATAGTATGTTAGAACATGGACATTTGAAGTCAAAAGATTTCACTGGTTAGCTTCCCCTCTGACTAGTTGTATACCTTTTCTGAACTTCAGTTTCCTTGTCTGTAAATGGGAGTCAATTTGCCTGTTTCAGAGGTTCACTAATATATTGTTTTGAGAATATAATTGAATAATATATGTGAATACTCTCAAAAATACTGTTTAGTGCCATTCAATGTAAGTAGTATTGTTCTCTATTCTAGGTCACCTATGCTTCTCTTTTAAATTTTAATAATCCTTGGCTTTTTAATATCTGGATAGTTTCCAAAGGTTATGATTTTTTTTTCTTTGGACTGAAGGTCCCTTTAATAGATCTTTTGTGAAGCAATTTCTGCAGTGTAAATGGACAAGTCTTGGCTGTCATCCCACAGTGCCATGGTGATTCTACTCTCAGTTGCAGTGTCCTCTGGCATGTACCGCAATAACAGTTTATTTGCCCTCACTTTGAAGACAGTTGTTAGCAATTGGGAATAGGCTTGGTTGGAACTTTTTGGTTCCATTCAACCTTTATTAGATAGTACCCAGAAGCAGTGGTGCACTACTACCCCACCAACATTCTTTGGCCTATCTAGGAAATAAAATTTTCATGTAGAAAACCTTTATTCAAAAGTTTATGAAGCACTAAGTTAAGGGGAAATGATTATATTATTAGTGCATTGACTCACCAGCACAGGGCAAGATGAATGAAGCCTTGAAGACTTCCAGAAGTGCATATTGCTGCTGGGTATGGAGTATCCTGGCCACCCATAACAACCTTTAAGTTTTCAAAAGTTGAAAGAATCAGAATAGAGCGGTGGCTCCTAAACTTTGTTGTGCATTAGTCACCTGGGAGCTTTTAAAAATCCTGATACCCAGATCATAACTCATACCAATTATAAAGCAGAATGTTTGGGAGTGGGAGCCAGGAATAAGCAGTTTTTAAAGATGCCCAGGTGATACCAGTGCACAGCAAAGTTAGGGAACCATGGGAATATGTGGCTTAGCTTCCATTCTTATACTGCCTGTTACTGTTTCTCAGCCGTTAGCACCATTAGTGAGTTTGATAATCCTATCACTAAAAATATTTGAAAATAATAGGTAATGTTGCTCAAGTAGATTTGTGGTCTATATTTTTTAAAGAGTGTTTTACATAGTCTTATGTTGCTTTGAGTTTTGTTTCACTACTGTCACATTCTAGATATATTTGTTATGTTTTCCATTTAGTACAGATAATTTCTTGACAGATTTAAATAAAATCATGCCTTTGTGACTTAACACAGAATAATATCATGTCTCTAGGTATTAACTTGTTATGAGTTTTGTTTCTTTGTTTCATTTACATGGCCATTTTTAGGATAAAGGACTGACAGCCAATTTATTTTTCCAAATCCATTTTAATTTTTTCTCCTGTGTAGTAATGAAATGTTATAAGCTATTGTGAATTTATGAAATTAATTTGAGTCTGAAGAAATAGACTGCTTAATTATATCATAGCTATATTAATATTTAATAATATGTAAGATGATGGGTATGTGAGATAAAAACTATACCTGTGGCATTATTAACAATAATATTAACAGTAGTAATAATAATAATTACTATATTATTATTCATAAGAATTTTCCCAACTATCATAGTTTATTAAATCAGTCTCAATATCGTCTAAAAAAATCTAATTTTAACTGTACAAAGGAAAATTCCTATGTAGCTTGGTTTCTAATGTTGACAAGAGCCACAGTTTTTGCTGTATGTCCTTGAGTATTTGCCTAAGACTTGACATAAGTTCTGGTGGTCACAATATTATCTTAAAAAATAGAAATTTTTTATTTATAAAAATTTGTTTCATATTCCAGTGAAATATATGGTGAAAAAATGCAAAACATGAATTGATGCTCTGTGAATTTTTTCTTTGTCATTTCAAATTAAAGAACATGACCTTATTTTCTCTAGTGCTGTCAGAATGTTGTAAATATGGAAATTTCTACATTGCAAATATTTGGCTTAATTCATAACATTCATTCATCCAGTTTATGTTTTGGGTCTTTTGTTTTTCTTGTTTCGCATTTTTATTTTGTTTTGTTTTCAGCCATCATTTTGTCTTATCATCTTCAATTCTAGAGCAACCTGACAACAATAATGATACTACTGACTTGGGCATCCTTGTCATTCCCGAGATTAGTGTCACAAATGTGTCCGGAGAGAGAACCGGGAATGGGGAAAAAGGCAGAACACTAGGAGAGATTGATGCTCAGCATATACAGGGTGTGCAGGAAACAGCCACAGATCCTAGAACTGAGAGCAAAGGCTTGCCAGAGATCAGGAGGCAAAAATCTGTAAGAAAAATGATGGAGGATGGAATAAACTCACCTGGCAGAGTACAGTTTTAGCAGAGCACTTTATAGCTGCACTCCAAGGTATCTCAAGGCAAAGGGCCACTGATGCATGCTAAGCAACAGTTGCACAGTCACAAAAATTTTGCATGTCATCTAATAATCCAAATGCATGAATTATACACAATTTCTCAATGACTCTTAATGCTATTTGGAATGGTCATACCTATACCGTCTCTGAGTAAATTGTTATGAAAACTGAGGCAGAAAATTGCTTCCAAAAGAATTTTCTGCTTATGTTTTAAGATCTGAAATTATTTTTCATTTTTGTCATCGTTTATTTGAAGGATAATGTATATAAAATTTTAACAAGTTTGAATTTGTGATATTTATTGTCTAGATTTTTTTTAATTTGGTAAAATAATCTACAATGTAGAGTGCAACCTTCTGAAATAATCACTTTATAATATTCAAATACCATTTTTTAAAAAGTTCTTTGGTAAGAGATTGGATTTTATACAGCTTTGCTACCAGGGGAGGGTTTACTATGTGTTAATTTTTCTAATTATTTCTGATCTTTTGCATGTATAATAGGAGAACTCTTTCTAAAAACAGAGTGGGGTGTGGTTTATGGCATGCTTTTTGTTTAATACACTCTAAATTATTGTCATTTAATTACAATGAACTATTTTTGACACTTTTTAGAATCAATGTTTTGATTTATCTTTTGATTTTATTCTATAATCTGTTGCCTTGTGAAATTATGCTAAAGTTTAATTTATTCAAAGTATAACTGATACGGTATTAATCATTTAAAAATAATTGCTTAAAATACTTAATGTTAATTAATCTTTGTCATTTCTTTGTTTAGGAAATACAGAATTAACAGGTCAAGAAGAACTGATGGAAATATCTGAAGTTGACGAGGGATTTTATTCCAGGGCTGCGTCTAGTACCAGCCAGTCGGGTTTATCAAACAGTAGTCACAATTGTAGTAACAAGACAAGTGTAGGAAAGAACCAGAGACGGTCAGGAGGAAGCAAAACTGGAGGAAAAGAGAAAGAAACTACAGGGGAATCTTGCAAAGATCACTTTGCTCGAAAGCAAACTCAGAGAGCCCAAAGTGAGAATCTTGAGCTTCTCTCTTTGAAGAGACTTACTTTGACAACCAGCCAATCCCTACCTAAGCCTAGTAGCCACGGTTTGGCTAAGACCGCGGCCACTGTGTTTAGTAAATCCTTTGAACAAGTCAGCGGTGTCACAGTCCCACACAACCCATCATCTGCTGTTGGTTGTGGGACTGGGACAGATGCCAATAGGTTTTCCGCTTGTAGTCTTCAAGAAGAAAAGCTTATTTATGTTTCAGAAAGAACGGAACTTCCAATGAAGCATCAATCAGGTCAGCAGAGACCTCCTAGTATTAGCATTACTCTGTCCACAGATTAATTTGTGACATATTTGTCTCCCATAACCAGTGACTCTGGAAATATGACTTTGCTTCTTTATGAAAGTGCCCCGAGTCTTTCATCCACGTTCATGACAGGAGCCCTGACGTCTTAAATTCTGAAGGCTCCCTTGACTTTATGAAGGGAATAATGTCTAGATTGCAATAAGTTGAAATATGGTTTTGTTATTTCTTGGTTGTGATTTTTTTCCCCTTGGTTTGAGTCTTTTTTTTCTTTCTTGTTTGTTACTGTTGCCCTAAGATTATCAGTGTGACAATAAATTTTGGCAGATTGTCTAGTTAAGTTGGTTATATCTAATGTGAGGTTGTGAGATTTTTTTTTTTTTTTTCAATAACTCCTAATTTTGGTGGCTGTGTGTTTGGCTTCAGAGTCAAAGGGAGTCTCCATGTATGGCAACTGTTTTATAAAGGATGGGACGGAGGAACAACTCCAGGAATTCTACAGCTGGGCAGTCAGGAAGCCAGTCTGACAAACAGGCATATGAAAACACAAAAATAATGTGTAGAAAAGTGCCTGATGAAAATGTTTGTAACAAGATCATCTTTAAGATTGGAACAGTTTGGTCAAGGCACTAGAAAATGCCTGGTAACTCAGTACCTAGAGTATTATATGATTCTGGGGGATGAGTAGGGGCATTTCTGTTATCTTTAGAACATTTTTGTATCAAAAATCAGATTGCTGGTAGGTGTGTTGAAGCGTTTGATCTGGATTTAGCAGGTGAAGATTACTTTCAATTCCTAAGGTATAATAGGCCATAAAGCTGATTTACTCTGCTGCTGGACTTTGGAAATCCTAGTTAGTTTGGATTCCTGTAATTCAGAGCACACATCATGGAAGACTTCCTGGAAATCATTGTAAATCTTGCAACACAGCTCTCAAGACACCAGTATCAACTATGTAACGGTTGAATTGTTTGTCTGCAAATGAAGGAAATTTGATAAATTTTTCATCTATAAAATGACACAAAAAGATAAAGGTAGTGAATTATGGACAAAGGACATTTATATATTAACTAATTTAGGGTTGTTTATGTTTGTGCTCTTAAATTTAAAATATGAAAGAAATGAAATGTGTTTTTTGGTTGTGAACAGGCCTATTTGAAATGTTCTTATTATGATGTAGAAGGAATAATCAGTTTTGTTATTGCCCAACCAAGGAATAAAAATTAAAAATGTGATATGACAGAAGCTAAATAAACTTGTATATAGCTATAGGGGACTATGTGGCTTTTAGACAGACATAAAAATTTGGTGTTTGCTAATGAGAGTCCTTTCATCTGTGGTTGAAGTTCCCTGTAAAGCAAGTATACTTAAGTAATAATTTGGAGTGAGAGAGAGAAAACAGGCCTGAGGCTGAGAGACAGTGGACTGGCGAGGAAGGTCTGAGCAGCTGTCCAGTTGTTGGGCTCTTTCATTTATAGTATACAGGGGTCCAAGGACAGCATGTTAGTGTTTTTCCTCTTGTACAGAGCAAAGATATATGAAACATTTGTATGTTTTGAAGAGTGCCAAAATCATTTATACTCTGAATTCAGTTTTGACTATAACTGTACTGGCTACTAGTTTAAAACTAATTTTTCAAAAGGCATGAACTAGTTTTCATTCAGTAGCCCTGAATACAATATGGTTTTTAACATAAATTAATTTGATTTTTTTTTAGTCCCAGTAAGAGAATGGAATAAGATCTGTTGGCATAGCTTATAGTCAAAAACTGTAAGGCAACCAGGCAATAAAAGTTGACATTGTTTTAATTTAACAGGAATCCTGTGTACAATTTAAAATATTTTTTAAATGACATTGTGAATTTCCTGTTGTCCTTTTCTAATTTTTAACAAAGAATTTCACCTATGTGTAATTATTAACAGTATTGATATTGTTAATATTAAGAACTAATTTAAGAGTCTCATGCTCTCCTGACTGAGCTAGCCGGGCAGTTAAGAACTAATTTAAAAGATTGGCATTTTAAGCAAGTTGAGGTACATAGGAAACATAGAATAAGTTTGAGGAAACATTGGCTGACACAAGTAAGAGATCAGATTTTAATGTTCCGCCACTGTGATGGAACCTTATTTAGATATTCTTCTAGACTTTTGCTACTCATGTGGTCTGAGAGACCATTAAGTAGGATTGGCATCACCTGGCATCTTGTTAAAAACGCAGAATTTCAGGGCCACTCAAGATCTACTGCATCAGAATCTGCATTTTAACAAGATCCCCAAGTGATTTTTATGCACATTGCATTTTTCAGAAGAGGGTGTCAGAATGCAAACATGTTACTTGTCTAAAAATGTAGAATTCCTAGTGGTCTCACAACCCGAGATCAGCTATGTCAGATACTAGATCATTATTATCTTCATTGTTCTTGACAGCTAATGAATTTTTGATAATATTGGCACATGGCTTCTTAAGGCCTCTAATTCTAAATTTCTAATGATCCTCATTTATTTTTGCAATAAAAGTGTAACATTTTGTACTTTTCTTGTTAACCATAAATGAAATCAAAACTGTAAATGCCTTCAATTTTAGGATTGAAAAGGAGTACCACCCTTTAATACAATGCACAACAAATTTGCATTTGTATGTTCTTTATAAAAATTTCTGAAGTCTTACACAGTGGGGTGGCTCTGAATCTGTGCTCCAAGTAATTCATACCAATTGATTTTCTGGAGTGTGGAGTTATGTTAATAATGACATTTTTTATAGTACTTTTGATACTATTTCAAATAAGGGTTATACATTGAAAGATTTTTAGAAATTATGAAAATTGGATATTATTAACTGTGGCAACAATTGTTACTATTCCTACTACTCTCTTCCCTCTCTTCAAATTTTAAAGTTGGGTGGCTTTTGTAGGTCACTTACCTATAAAGATGTTGATGATCACAGACCTCCTATGTGTCCAGAATAAAATTTTTATCATGAGAAAGATCCACACAAAAATTGCAGCTCCATTCCGCATTTTAAACCTCTAAGGATTCTTGGGATCACCCAACCTATCACTCTTGAAAACCCAACCTCCCAGGGTGTTCTAGTGAAACTGGAGCCAGCACTAGCCTTTTGGAATCCAAATGGAGAGAGAAACAAAGTAGACTTTTCAAGGGAATGTCCCAGAGTACCCAGGGCAAATATCTTCCCTCTGCTCTCTGAAGCCACAGGAAAGCACCCTGGAGTCCCTTGTCTACCACCACAGAAATTTTTAAGGCAAATTGTGTAGATTTGAAAAGTAGAAATTCTGAGTCCTTAGATGATGACTGAAGTTTGTTTTGAAAAAGCAATATTTCATTGCCCTTTTCAATTGTGAAGCAATTACTCAGCAAACATTACTCATTTTTTAGAAAGTTAAATAAAAGGGAAATATATTTTTAAAACCAAAATAGATCAAAATGATCCCAGTTTTAAGGGATTTTGCCTGTTTTGGAAAAATAAAACTAAAGTGTTAAAACCTAAATTATGGAAAAAAGAGGTACTCTGAGACATGATTTTAAACAAATATTTAAAATAAGGCAGGTTAACATTTTGAGTCTATAGGCACAATAAATCTTTATTAAAGGGAAGTGCACATCAAGACAATATGTATGCTGAATAATGTAACTGAAAAAATATTTTTTAAAAACCACTTAGAAAAATAATTTGAGGGTACTTTAAGCATTGTAGATAGAGTTTAATGTATAATAGTGTCTTCCCAATCTTTGGATGAAAAATTAAAGCTCTTTAATCCTTTAATGAGCATGAATTTATACTTTTAGATGTGTTGCCTGGTAAAATTATACTGAATACTTTGAGTTATTCAGATTTATGTTTAATATTGTTAAATTCTTCATCAGAGAGCATAAACATGTTGTCTTCTGTACTTTGTAACTTGTGCATATCTAAAGAGACTAGCAGTGAACATTTTGGAAGATGTTTTTGTGTTTTTTATAGTAGAGTTAAAGAGTACATGTGTCTGAATAGGAAGTTTTTACTGGTAAAATCAAGATCCTATTTCGTATATTGTTGCTTTCTCTTATATGGAGCTTATTGTGTGATTACTTCTAATCATGTGGTGATACTAATTTTTTCATAGTAATATACTTGTTTCTAATTGTATTTCTAGAATTTACATTCCTAAAGAATAAACTATGACTTTGGATATTTTTATGTTTCCTGCCTTTTTAAGGCTATGGAAATAAACTGGAGTTTAGTTTTCAAACTTTTATGTATTTGTGTAAATGTTCTCCTTATGCAGTACTTTATACCATGAGTGTTGCCTCTTGTTTTATTGAAATAAAAACTGAAAAAGCATTTTTTGCAGATCACTTTACTCATTTAAAGGTCATTATAAAAATGTGCAAAAGTCATGATGTGAAGGAAGAAAGTAAAGGAGAAACACTTAGTTGAGCTGAGCCATTGAGAGCTTTTGAGGGTAAGTGATGGGACAATGACATCTCATTGCTGGCTTTGTACTTTGCATGGCCTAGGGATGAGAAGTCTGGCAGGTCCGTCAGTGTCCCTTCAAAGAAGATGAGCTCCACGGGTCGTGCGTCAATGGTTGGTTATTTTTCATGGCAGAAGCACAGGCATATTTATATTTAGGTAACATTACTTTGCCGATTTACCTTTAATAGGAGTCTTTATCCCTTGAACACAGAGATTATATGCCCGAGTACAGAACTTTGTCATGGTAGATATTTAGACATTTAATGAATAAATGAGTTAGGTTGATGCTGGCTTTGGAAATGAATCAAGGATAAGGTTTTTAATGTATTATTTTACAGTAAAATTTTAGAATTTCATTTATTTGCTCTAGGAAATCTCAAAGGCATTACACGAATTGCATTATTGTGCATTAGAAACAAGGCTCTTTTAGACACTTGAAAAGAATTCCTGGTGTTTAGTTGATTATATATTTGGATAAGTTCTTTTCATCTAACAAACTAAGTAATTTAGGAAATATATTCTAAACTACTCTTAGAAGAGTACTTGTAGAGAACCAGAACAGTGATTCTGTAAGCAGTGTGTTAGCCCCATGAAATATGCATTGTTCTGGTGACTTCAGTGTTTCCAACAAACAGTGGACTCACCTAATAGAACCTGACTTTGTTTGTTATGTTATGTTAATTATGTTAATAAGTATTAACATAATAATGTTAACATTATTTTATAATTATAAAGACTTACAAATAATTCCTAGTCATTTGGTTATTTCCCTTGTATTATATTTAATATTATTATTATGATAGTAATAGCTAATATTTATAGCTAAGATTATCTTATTTAATCCTCAGAATAATCCTATAACATAAGTAGAATCCCTATAACATAAGTAGAATCCCTATTTTACAAAAGAGGAAACTGAAGTTCTCAATAGGGTAAATGACTTGCCTAAGGTCACCTATCTGGCAAAGCCAGACCTTGAACACTGGTCTTATGACTCACTTTTCTATCACTTGGTAAAAGAGGATATTAATTAAATACTACCTAATGGACATATGTTTAAAATTCAATCATCCCATCTGTCTTACAGATAATAGGGTTAAGTTTTAAAGTAAAATGGAATCAAAGTTTTTTTAACCTAAATTATGATAATTTTGTAGAATTTGATATAATTGTGTTTCAATAGTAAACTGAATGCTGGTTATACTGATATTAAAAGCATGATAAAATATAAATTAAAATAAGGTGTTTTTACCTGTCAGATTGATAAAGATGAAAAAGATTGATTCTAATTAATATTGGCATAGGTGTGGGGAAATCATTAGTCTCTGGAATAATTAGTGGGACTGAAAATTGGTACAGATGAATTGGTAGGTAGTTCTGCAGGATCTATCAAACTTTAAAGTGTACCACATACCCTCTGACTTAGCAGTTCTGTTCTATGTTTATTTTACTCTACAGAAAATTTAGTACAAATGCATAAACATAACATGCAAGGTATTCATTGCAGCATTGCTTGTAATAGCAGAAAAAAAGAAAGAAAGAAAACAAAAACCCAGCAATCTGAATGTCATTAATAAAGGAATAGATAAATTATGGTGTGTACATGTAGTGGAATATGATGTAGCCATTAAAAAGAATGCAGATCTGTACGTGATGATTTAAACAGATTATAACACTATAATGTTTCCTGAAAAAAAAAAGCATGCCATAGAACTATATATAGAGTATAATCCCACTTTCATTATAAGAGTGTGTGCAGTAGTTAATATGGGTGTGTTTTATGTACAATACACATTTATGTTCGCTGGTATGGGGGGAGGAAAGCATTGTTTCTCAAAATGTGGTCTAAAGATAGCCTGCATTAGGAAAATACCGATGCTTTTTAAGATAGAGGTTCCTGGGCATTGTACTATGTCCCCTAAGTCAGAATCACTGTGAGTTAAGCATGGAAACTTATATTTCTAACAGGTTCCTCAGTTGATGCTTATACAAAATTTGGTCTAGTAGCTGACAGCAATGAATTGGTTATCTAGTAGTGGATTGTTAGTAAGAAAGGACACACGTCCTGCCGAGATCTTGTATTTTAAATGAGGCCTACCTAAGAAAAAGCCAGTTAACATTGATTAACATCATCAACATAGACACAGAAAAATGATTCTACTGTGCAGGAGTACACACCAATCAAATGAGCAATCCTTTAAAAAAAACTTTGTTATTGTTTAACTTACTAAAACATCATCAGATGACCTGTTAATAAAGCAAAACAATAGAACTTACTACAATAAGAGAGAGTGCCACTCTGATTTGATTAGCTGTGTCTTACAACCATAAAGTAAGGTATTTGTAGAGCTTTGGGACCTTGTTCAAATGGTTTGAGGCATGTCTGTCAAGGCAGGAAACTGATGGGGATTGGCAGAGTTAATAATCTAGGATTGGTGGACACAGTAAGCAGGGGTCTTAAAGAGTCTTGATAAGTCAACTGTTGTTTGAGAAGCAAGCTGTTTGCCCAGGTAAGCAGATTATTGTCTCCAACCTATAAGAATTTCCTGTGCAAATGAAAAATAGAGATTGTTTTTGTTTTTATTTGCTTTGTTTTATTTACAATCTTATCTTTCCTAGGCAAAGATTTCCTGGAATAAACAACTAAGTCATGTTGACATAGGTGGGCTACAGTCTTCTCTAAGCCATGTTGACACTGATGGATTAAGTTCTCTTTCTTTATCTCTCTCTAGTGAAAGATCGTAAGTCAATATTATGTATATAGCATGTTGGTATGTTGTTAGTGACTTCTTAGCATTCCACTGAATGTCTCAAAGATTTCTTCTGAAGCTTCTTGACCCCTGTAGTACTTGGTTCACAATTGTTAAGTGCTCTAATATAATTTTAATTGCATTGTACTGTGATTATCTTTCATGTCTCCCTTACTAGCCCATAGCCCTGTGGGGATTTAGTATAATACATTATACATAATAGTGAATAAATATTTGTTTTACTAGATAGCATGTGAATCTAATCCAGGAAATTGGTGGCAGCATAGGAGAGACCAGACCGTGTTGCTTCTCTTCTGTTTAAGAGAAGTCTGTGGAACTCCTTTGGTTCTCTAATGAAAATCTGCATGGAGATGAAGATGAAGGTTACAAAACTTGACTACTTTGATTCTTTTGAGTGTACCCACATAAAAGTTTTTTTGAGGAGTAAAATTATGATACATCATGTTTCTTTTCAGTTAGAGGAATGAATGGCATGGAGATTTTCCCAGGCTAATAATGTTTGACATTTATTTGTTTATTTTTAATTTTCTACTGTATTTTTCTCTCCTATATATCCGTGGTGAATGTGAGCGATATTTAGACTCATCAGAAAACAAAATAGGAAAAGCCTAACTTTGACACTACAAATTCTCACATCTTTCCTCACTTGCTTCCTTTCGTAGAAACTACAAGTATATTTAACTTTTGTTAAATATAGGTCCACTACTACCTAATGAAGGCCTGTAGTGCATTCATCTTAAAACTCTTACTCTCTTCATTTAGCCAACACGTTTCTACTTCTGTTTTGCCCACTATGCTATATAATTTCTTACTAACATTCTCTTCTCCAAATCTTTTAAAATAAAACCCTCTGGAACAACATGTTACCACTTTTTATTCCACTGTAGTTTAGAATCTTGTTTCAATATTTATCCTTTCCTTAAGCCTTTTAATTCATTTATATCCACAAAGTTGCATTTGATGAGACAGGATATGTTTGAAAGAAGGAGAAAACAAGCAAGCAAGCAAACCTATGAATTACATCTGCAATAGGAAATAATACATTTCCCAGTTCACTGAAGAGGAAAAAATTGAGAGTGGTTATACAGCAGTACTGCACAGAATGATGGTACTAGTTAGAAGTAGACTGTTGCATTCCAGTCTCACTCAAAGATGGGTCTAGAAGACAGTGAGGAAAGGAACTCTTTCAAGTGGGCAAATCTGAGTGGTATTTCTTGTTTGCTTTGCAAGGAAGGTGAGATATCCCAAGGTACGGATCTATACCTGCTGGTTGGGGACACGCAAGTGATAAGATTAGCACATAAGTGATAAAACTTGGAAGCTACCTGTATGGTTGGACTTCTTAAAATGGGTTCATATTGTAAGAATAATTGTTTCCTACATAAATGCTAACCAAAAGCCCTGTTGTGAAGGAAGTGCTAAATAATCAGATGGTCCGCTGGGCGCGGTGGCTCACGCCTGTAATCCTAGCACTCTGGGAGGCCGAGGTGGGGGGATTGCTCGAGGTCAGGAGTTCGAAACCAAGAGCGAGACCCCATCTCTACTATAAATAGAAAGAAATTAATTGGCCAACTAATATATATAGAAAAAAATCATCCGGGCATGGTGGGGCATGCCTGTAGTCCCAGCTACTTGGGAGGCTGAGGCAGGAGGATTGCTTGAGCCCAGGAGTTTGAGGTTGCTGTGAGCTAGGCTGATGCCACGGCACTCACTCTAGCCTGGGCAACAAAGAGAGACTCTGTCTCAAAAAGAAAAATAATAATAATAATCAGATGGTCAAGGTGACTTTGAGAATCAGAAAAAGTGGATTTCTTTGATATTCCAGTCCTTGTTCAATCAGCTTATGAATAAAGTGGCTACACTGGAAGGATCAGGGCTGTACATGAACTTCAACAATATGGGCCTCCTTTCCTTAGGAATATTCTGATTACTGCCACTGCTAGGAGCCCAATCTGCCAGCAGTAGTGACCAACCTTACAATATCTTGTCCTAGGGTGACATAGTTGCTTAGTGGCAGGTTGATTATATTAAATCTCTTCTCATGGAGAGGCAGCTATTGTCCTCATGGAATAGATCCATACTCAGAGTCTG